GGGTCTGGGATGATAGCCTACAGATAAATTCCTTACCTTGTACGTACCAGGATCCAATTTGGGCTGCTAGTTCTAACCCTGGCAACTCCTGGGAATCCAGTGCCCTGCTTGTGGCCTGGGAAAGCAGTTGAGGACAGCCCAAAGCCTTGGGATCATGCATCCGTGGGGGAGACAGAAGAATCTCCTGGCTCCTGGCTTCGGATCAGCTCAGCTGAGGCCATTGTGGAGTTTTGTTCTGTTTTGTTTTGTTTAAGTAGGAGACTTTAAAAACAGCGATTTATTTATTTTTATTGCAAAACCAGATATACAGAGAGGAGAAGAGAGAAAAGAAAAGCTTCTGTCTGATGATTTACTCCCGAAAGTGGTCACAACAGCCAGAGCTGAGGAGCATAAAACTCCCAACAGGCTTGACCAAAAGTGGTCTTCACCATGACACATGATTGTCAAGCTCTCTTCAATTGAACATAAGGAAAAGATCCTTAAAAGTACACAGGAAAAAAATCAACTGACATACAAAGGAATACCAATTAAACTTACAGGAAACCTCTCACAGGAAACTTTACAGGCAAGAAGAGAATGGAGTGACATATTCCAGATTCTAAAAGCAAACAAATTGTCAGCCCAGGATAATGTACCCAGCAAAACTTTTCTTTGAAAATGAAATAAAATCCTTCCACAGTAAAGAAAAGCTAAAAGAATGTGCCTCTTCCAAATCTGCCCTACAAATGATACTTCAAGATGTTTTCTTGACAGAGCAAAGGAATAGTACCCACCAAAACCAAAGCCAAAAGCGAAAAACATCCCAGTAAAATAACAACAGAAGACTAAATCAATGAACAACCTATTGTTAAAATGACAGGACCAAATTACCACCCATTCATATGAACTCTGGCTTTAACTCATGAATCAAACATCATAGATTAGTACACTGGATTAAAAACAATCTATTTATTTGTTGCCTACAGGAGACGTATCTCACCAACAATCAGTGGAAACTGTATCTCATGAATTGTTAGTTTCATCTCTTCAAAACACTTTCTTCTGATTAAATTTTTCAATGACTCATAGATCATACAGTAGCATCATTTTCTGCAAGAAGGTTCTTGATTTTCTTTTTCATTTCTTCAGCAACACATTAGTCACTCAGTAGCATGTTATTTTACTTCATGGTGTTGTTAATTTCTTTTTTTTTCTTCCTGTTGTTGATTACATTTTGTGGCTTTTCATTTAAGGGGATGTACGGTAACTATGTAACGGAGACTAACATCCTGATTGAGGATACAATGCAGTATGCATCTCCACTTGCAGACAAAGATGGACTCCCGATGAAACTGTTTACTGTGTCTTGACAATGGGATGCTGGACTCTCTGTCATTGTCCATGCCTGCAACGATAAACATATGATTGTGTATGAAGAACTATACTACCGTAATGATATAGAGGAATTCAATGAGGGGGCAGGAACTAGGGAGGGGTGAAGGGAAATTCCATGATCTATGGAACTGTATCATATAATGATAATAATAATAAAAGGAAGTAAAATTTTTAAAAAGAATTATTAAGAGTGCAAACAGAATAAGGCAAACTTATTTTAATTCTATTATTGTGATCGTAGCACCCTTAGGACAGGCTATAAAAAAATGCAAAGAATGGAATTAGATATTAAGTCATTTAGCACTGTGTTAACCAAGGAAGATGCTGTTGTGAAATGAATAAAAAAGGAAAATGTAGTATTAGAGAAGACCACTAGGGGGTGAAGAGAAAAAACGCTGCCACGCTTCAGCCAGATAAACAAATATTCCTGCAAAAAGCATGTCACTCACTCAACAGGTGACAACGGATTGCATTTAAGAGCATTCTTTACTTACACGCTATTTGATCATAAGAAAAATAGCCTTCCTTATGTTGGGAGGTAATTTATGAACAAATGAGCTAATGATTTAAACAACCAAAAAAAATCATGCTCTTCTATTTTTACTGTTGGCAGGCAGGCTGCCACCCAATTTTATTAAGCCATCTTTCAAAAATTTACATGTGTTTATTCGAAAGGCAGTGAGAGAGGGAGAGAAGAACAAAGAGAAACGAACAGAAATCTTTTATTCACTGATGTGCTGATTGTGCACCACAGCCACCATGAGACAAGGCTGAAGCCAGCAGCGTAGAATTCAGTCTGAATCACTTGCATGGGGTCTGGGAATTCAAGCACTTGTGTGATGGCCAGCCGCATCGCAGGGTGCGCATCGGCAGGCAGCTGGCACGCAGAGCTGAGCAAGGACTCAGAGTCAGGCTCTCATTTAAGGCACACAACAATTCCAAACAGTATCCGCACAGCCACACTAAACGTCTACCTTTTGCTCCACAAGCCTCAGAGAATTCATTTGAAAGTCAGCTGAGACCTAAGATACTTCCTGTTTCGGTTTTAACAATGATTTGTCATTTAGACAAATCCCATCGATTCAGCAAAGCAACGATCACTTTCAACGTGTGTTTGTCGTGCAAGCTTAACCATGCATAGACGCCTACGAGCAATTTGCTTATGAGGAATGTTTAGTTGTAACTTAGGAAGAATCTCAGTTTTACTGTTTTGAAGTTCACAAAAGTTCCACTAGTTCTACAATATCTCTAATTTAGCCATCAATTAATTTAAATCAACCTGATCATATCAAAATAAGTGGTAATCCTTTCTTTTGAACCTGAAACTGCTATTTTAAATGTTGGGTAAAAAAGTATACTATTTTGTATACATGGCTTCTTTCTCAAATTTTGTATTTCAGTCCTAGAAACTCTTTGCTATGTTTTTTTCATAAGTTAGAGAGACACAGAGGAAGACAAGACAGGCAGGGGTCTTTGTCGGTCACACATCAACTTCCACAACAACCAGGGGGACTCTGCATGGAATCCTGAGGCTTGTACGTATTTTCCCATCTAAATGTTGCCCAAGGGGATGCCAACAATCCACGGGCAAATGAAACTCAAAGGCAGCTTTATTTTGGTGCAGAAAAATTGAATTTATATACATAAGAAGTTCAGGGAAAATGCATGCCGTGAAAAATCTATGTATGGATTTTCATAATTGTTCCTTCAAAATTCATGTAAACACACCTTTCATGTCATGTTTGCACTGACTTTTTGAAGCATTCTCTTATGTTATATTGCCTTAGGTATTAAAATTTTGATAGTCATTTTTTGGTTGGTTGGTTGGTTTTTTAATTGAAAAGGCAGACTTACAGATCTTCCATCTGCTGGTTCACTCCCCAAGTAGCCACAATGACCAGAAATGAACTCATCTGAAGCCAGGAGCCAGATTTCCCACACTGCTTCAGGCTTCCAAGGCATTCAGCCAGACTCTACTGCTTTCCCAGATCACAAGCAGGGAGCTGGATGGGAAGCAGAGCAGCCAGGACACAAACCAGTGGCCACATGAAATCTTATTGCATGCAAGCTGAGGATTTCAGCCGCTGAGCCATGATGCCAGGCCTGACAATCGTTTTCAGTAGAAGTTTTGACATTTGCTTTTTCTAGCTTGTAAATTCTATTAACCTATGCCATTAAAATCCTTTCAATTGCAACTTAATGATAGCATTTATTTAATAAGCATGATATTTGGTTCTTTACATATAATGCTTTTGTTTTTTACATAATCATGACAATCATAGGGGAGCTATCCTTGCAACACCAGCATCCCATTTAGTTCTACCTGTCTGAGATGAGATGCAACTCCCTCCCGATGAGCCAGCTGCAAGCGATGGTTGGTGCTCCAGATGCCCGAGGCACTGCCACCTGCATGGGTAACGCAGCTGGAATTCCAGGCTCCTGGCTTCTGCCCTGACGCACCCCCAGCTATTATGATCACTTGGGGAAGGAGCCAGGGAATGGAAGATCTCTGTCTATCTCTTCTTTTGGTCACCTGTCTTTCAAATAAATGTATTTTTTTTTTTTAGAAATTAAGGAAACAACAAAAAAATCATAGAATAACACAACACTGATGGAACCTCAGACTGCAAAGCCCATACAAGGCCATTAGACCATCAGAGGATGTAGAGTTTATTTCTAACTTTATTTAAGTGATGACAAGCAACTAGCAAATTTCTGCTCTTCAGTCTCTTAGCTTTAAATAAAACTGTAATTGCCGCATAAGTTTTCTTTTGAAAGATTTACTCATTTATTTGAAAGCAGAGATCATGGGCTTGGAAAACAGCCCAAGTCTTGGGGACCCTGCACCCAATGAGGACAGCTGGAAGGAACCCCTGGCTCCCAGCTTCGGGCGTGCCCACCTCTGGTTGGGGTAGCCACTTGGGGAGTGAACCAGCAAACGAAAGATCTCTCTCTGTCTCTCTCTCTGTCTCTCTCTCTCTCTCTCTCTCTCTCTCTCTCTCTCTCTCTCCATAACTCTGAATTTCAGAGTAAAATGAATAAATCTTTTTTAAAAATTATAAAACATGCAGTGGTGCATTCATTATCATTACCGTGATTAACATTTCCCGCTGATCAAACAAAAAGTATCAGAAGATTTTTTTACAAAGAGAATGTGACAGCTTATAAATGCATAGCATAATTAAAGAATTTTGAAGTTGTCATTTCGACATTTCAGTAGGGTATATTCTAATGAAGTTTGTTGCGCATGCTTTTCATATACAAAAAAATAAAAATCTTGAGTAAATAGCATAGGATTTTGTTCAGCTTGATTCTACAAGCCGGGAAATCGTGTAGGGGGAACGTTTTGACAAGCAAGGTAGATCCAGATTGTCAGAGGGTTTTAAATGCCTGTTTTCAGACATCTGTCCTTCATGTAAGAGGAAACGGGGACTCAATGTTTTGCCATAGAATAATGATGCATATCCAATTGAGGAAAATTAGTCTTACGGGATGGGTAACTGGCTACATCACACAGCAGAGAGCCTGCGTTACAGAGCCAGCTCTACTTGTCCTGACAGCAACTTCCTGCCCGTGTACACCTTCAAAGAAAGTGGCTGAGGACTCAGTTGGCTCCCTGCCATCCCAGTGGCCCCTATCACATCTCAGCTGTTTCCACCGAGCAGCTATGAACCAAAAAAGGAGCCCAGCTTGCCAGTCCTCCATAATAATGACTGTTCTGTTCGAAGTAACTGATCTGCAATATTTCAGAAAATGTTAGCTCCATTGTAGCTAATAATAATAATATAAGTTCCCAGCTCCTAACTTCTGCCTGGTCTAGCGGTATTGTTGTAGGTATTCAGAGAATACATAGAGGATCTCTGGGAAAGCCACAGAGGATGGCCTAAGGCCCCGGGACCCTGTACCCACGAGGGAGACCTGCAAGGGGCTCCTGGCTTTGGAGCTCAGCTCAGCTCTGACCATTGCAGCTACTTGGGGAGTGAATCAGCAGATAGAAGATCTTTCTCTCTGTCTCTCCTTCTCTCTGTAGATGTGAATTTCCAATAAAAAAAAATAGGATTCACAGGCAACAAAAAAGTCAAAATTGAATCCTGATAATACAGCTCATGAGGTGATCCTCTTTGATGTCTTAGCTTCTATCTTTTTATTATTATTATTATTTGTAAAGGTTGAAGCTAAAACATTGTACTCTCTCAAATTCTTATTCTCTATTATTTTGATCGTGCAGGAGAGGTTAAAATCAATCATCATATATTTTTAAAACCACGTGTCTTCAAACAGAATGCAGCATTTTGTTCGTTTCTCACAGGAACCAATGTGTCAGTTTTGAATACCATTATTCCATTTGTATTCCTCGCTCAAGAAGAAAGCAAAATATAAACTGCAGAAGTTTGCTATTACCTGTGAGGATCTTCTGAAAGCCTCTTATAAACGCTTATGTCAATTTAAGCTAATTCACTTTACCTCTTTTTTAACAAGTAACTACATTTTTTCTTTCGGAAATAGCAGTCAAAACCATTTAGTTAGGACTTGTTTAGACACTGCTACATGACATAACTATGTAACAGGATAATTAATAATTAAGCTAACTCTTAAAAACTGGCGATAACGTAGTTTTCATTATCCACCACTTAGCTTACCGGATACAAACATAAGTCAAATCATTCCAAGCGTGACAATTGTTACCGTATTTTCAAAATTGACCAAGTTGTCCTGTCTCAGTGTTATAGCAAACGAGAGAAGACAAGAGAATCCTGGGTCAAAACCAGAGCATTTTATTACTCTTGGCATCAGCTGACCACAGAATACCAGAATGCAGGGCAGGTGTTACCCACACATGTGGTAAGTTGCATCAGTGGAGGGGAGTCTTGAACTGCATAAACACACAATTTATATCCGACGATAAGCCTGGCCAACCTTCGCCCCCTAAAACACTACATTTATTCATGCACAATGGCAAATATACCTTTCTTTTGCTCACCCGCTTCCAAGGTTGTTTCTATACAAACATCCCTGGGCAGGTTATCCAGGACAAAACCTAACGGTCTCTCCACTAGCAAGATGGACAGAGATGAAGGATCCACACGGAATGACTCTCAACAGCAGGTGGAATCCAGTGGTTTAGAATGGCTGGCTAAACATGGCTTTAATGATTTGGGTGACTCTTCTAAAACTTACTGCATGTGAGTGAAATTGAACATCTTTTTATTTGATTGTTGCTTATATCTCTTGCCTATTTTTTTTTTTTTGGCGGGGCTATATATTTTTTTTACCCTTAACTTTGAACTTCTTATTTAGTAGAGACAGTAAGCCCTTGACTGTCATATAAATTTATAATATGTAATCTCAAAAAAATAATAAACAAAACATAAAATTAGACAAAATGGCTAATCACGAAAGCCGCATTAGAGTAAAAATGTGTATTATTCCTTTATTTCATGATTATTCTATATTGTTATTCTGTTGCTCCATTATACTATTATTGTTCTACTAAACTAAAATTGTTTGGATTTTAGGCATCTATCATATCTGAAATTTGGGACTACATAAAACAGAGTATGAGACAGAACAGGCGTATTTATTTAATGATTATTCATTTCTTATTTATTTAAGAGGCATACAGAGATCTTCCATTTACTGGTTTACTCCCCAGGTGAGCACAGCAAGCCGTGCTAAGCTAGGCCAAGTCGGAGGCCACGTACTTCCATGCAAGCTTCCCTCACGGCTGTCAGGGGTCCAGCTAATTGAGCCATTATCTGCCCATAGAATGCCTCAGCAGTAAGCAGCAGGTTAGGACTGGAAGGACCCCTAACGTGGAATGTAGATGCCCCAAATGATGTCATTTCAGCTGCACCAGCACCAACCCTGAACTGATTCCATCCAAACATGCTGTCCGAGTCGTCAAAATCCAGTTTGCCAACGCCAGTGGTCAATTCTATAACCTGCTCTCACGGTGGTGATCGCCGAGCGATCCTCTAACACAATGTCGCATGACTGCCAAGATGCTATGGAATTTTGTCTCTGGGTAGCTCCTCCCTGGGTCCTTCTGCTAACGTTGACTTATAGGACAAAACTAATTTTAGTGTCTCTGGTTTTTAGCCCTCCTCCACCTAATTCTTCAAGGGACCTGACTCTCACAAATGATGGGTATCGCAATATGAAGCTCATTGAAATAGTTGATTGATGGACTTTGTGACCGCTTACGAAAGACTATGCTGTTATAATAATATAGGGGAAAGCAGAGGAGAGGGAGAAATTTGGGGAGAGGGTAAAGAAAATCCCAGAGCCTATAGAAATGTATCACAAAATTTAAAAATATTTTTAAACAAAGGAGAAAGAAAAGAATTTAAGAAAAAATTATGGGTATGCCAATTACCCTGACCTAATCATTACACATTGTATACATCTTTTGAGATGTTATTACCATATCCATAAATGTTTATAATTACTGTGTCCATTCAAAATAAAACATATAGGGCCTGGCACCGTAGCCTCATGGCTGAAGTCCTTGTCTTGCACACACTGGGATCCTATATGAGAGCCGGTTCTAATCTCCACGGTTCCACTTCCTCTCTGTCTCTCCTCTTCTTTGTATATCTGACTTTCCAATAAATTTTTTTTAAATCTTTTTAAAAATAAATAAAGAAAACATATAATAAAATGACAGATCGTGACAAGAAACTACACTATGGATGAACCTTTGGGGAAATCATGCTTAGTGAAATAAACCAATCACACACACACACACACACACACACAATACTGTACGGTTTTGACTGCCTGCCTGTCTTAGAGTTGTCAAAAGTCACACAAAGGGCATATATTATGGAACACTAGGGCAAGCTTCCATTTGGTGTATCTGCATTCCGTATTAGAGACACAGTCCCCGTCCCAGTCCCAGCTATCCCACTGCAGTTGCAGCTCCATGCTAATGTCTGGGAGGCAGCTGGCACTGGCTGGAGTACCTGAATCCCTGTTACCCAAGTGGAATTCCCAGCACCTGTCTTCAGCCTGACCCAGCCCTGGCTGTGACAGCCATTTGAGAATGAACCAACAGAGGCAAGCTCGCTCTTCTCTCTCTCTCTCTCTCTCTCTCTCTCTCTCTCTGTCTTTCAAATAAAAAAAAAGTCTTAAGTACAGACAGGAAGTTGAGGGTAAGCATTTGGTGCAGCGGCGAAGACACTGCCTGAGCCAAATTAGAGTCCTGGGATTCAGTCTCCACCACTTGGGCCATGAGCAGCGTGATCTCTGTCCTTGCTTCAATAGAAAGAGAAAAGAAAGGAAGGATGGGAGGGAGAAAGGAAGAACGGAAAGGAGAGAGGGAAAGAAGGATAGGAAGGAAGGAAGGAAGGAAGGAAGGAAGGAAGGAAGGAAGGAAGGAAGGAAGGAAGGAAGGAAGGAAGGAAGGAAGGAAGGAAGGAAGGAGATGGAGAGATGGATGGGAGGGATGGGGGAAGATGTTGGTTTCTGAGGAATGGAAGGCTGAGAAGGGTGGTCCACAGATTAAAGGGACACAGTTCATTTCAGAAGTATTAATTAAATGAATTGTTACACTTCAAGAAATTAAAACAGCAAATGTTGTTAAATGAGTTTTACCACAATAAACAGTTGAAAGATCATCCAAAACATTTTAAATTTTAAATCAAGTTTTTGTTAGGGACAGGACATTGCATTTCCTCTTTATAAGATTTTATTGATTCATTTTGGAAAGTGAGATATACAGCAAGGAGGAGAGACAGAGAGGAAGATCTTAAGTCCTTTGATTCACTCCCCTAGTGGCGGCAATGGCCAGAACTGAGCTGATCTGAAGTCAGCAGCCAGGAGCCTCTTCCGGGTCTCCCATATGGCTGCAGGGTCCCAAGGCTTTGGACAGTCCTCGACTGCTTTCCTAAGCCACAAGCAGGGAGCAAGTTGGGAAGTGGAGCTGCTGGGATTAGAACCAGCGTCCATATGGGATCGTGGCCAATGAAAGGCGAGAACTTTGGCCATAGGCTACCGCGCCGGACCAAGGACATTACACTTCTAATATCTCACTCTTTAAATTTAAAAATGCTCCTTTAGCTTTATTCCTAGGATATTGTTATCTGAGAATGAAACCTGAGACCAGCTTTATTGCCGGGGCCATCCAGGCAAGAGGACTGGCGCGTTTGCTGAAAGCATCAAGCAGAAAGAATTTCGCTAAATGCTGAGGTGGGGGGGGCTGTGCCATTCATCATGCTGTAGCCTTTCCAGCATTCAACCTCATGTCATCGAAACAATACACATCCTTACTGACCAAACTCACAGCCTTTTTCCTTTAGCTTGAGACAGGCAGCCTCCTGCTCTACTCAATATGCTAGTTTTTTCTTGCTAACATCTTCCTCAGCGAGGTAAGCGATATCTTCATTGCTTTCTTTCACTCTCCTGTGTGTGGTGCCCAGGGTGGCACCTTGGGGCTGGCAGGTGCTCTGTAGATTTTTTCTTTTCTTAATTGAGTAATAAGTGAGTGAGATAAAAATCAGTGTGAGAAGATGCTTCTAATAAATTAAAAGGAGTAATTTTTTTCATGCAGCCTCACACATGCCATAGGTGTAATAATCCTTTGAAATATGTTAATGGGCTTTTCTTTCATCTTTGTATGCTGTGTCATCTTGCCCCAGTCTTCCATTTCCTTTGAGGTGGATCAGAGTTGTTAAAGAAAGACAAAGAAGCACCATTCAACTGTCAAGTGCTAAGTGGGATTTTCCACGTCCCTTACAATTCAATTGTCTAAACCCCA